GCTTAGTCATGGAGGTTGCTCGTACCTCCATGATCCATGCGGCTGCCCCCCATTTTCTGTGGCCGTTTGCGGTCCGGTACGCCGCGCATCAGCTCAACCTCTGGCCCCGTGTCTCCTTGCCTGAGACCTCGCCCACACTGCTGTAGATGGGGAAGGTTGGCGATGCGTCGCGTTTCCGGGTCTGGGGTGCTCGTGCCTTTGTCCGCGATACCATCGCGGACAAGCTCTCTGCCCGTGCTGTTCCCTGTGTCTTCCTTGGCTTTATCCTTGACGCGCCTGGTTGGCAGTTTTACCACCCCACCTCGCGCCATGTCTTCCCATCTCAGGACGTCACGTTCGACGAGTCGGTTCCCTTTTACCGTCTCTTCCCGTACCGCACTGCCCCTCTTCCCCCCCCCGTCGCTCTTCCTCGCTCCAGGTGCTCCCAAGATAGACCCCCTCCCCGCTCCCGGTCCTGCTCCTTCAAGTGTTTCTCAGGTAGAACCTCCTCCCTCGACTGCGCCGGTTGAGGTTACTGGTGACTCAGGTTCTGTTGAGGGTGGTCCTGCTCGGGGTGCTTCTTCTGGGGGTGCTGAGCCTGGGGGTGCTGAGCTTGGGGGTTCTGAGCCTGGGGGTGCTGAGCCTGGGGGTGCGGAGACTAGAGGTGCTGAGCATGAGCGTGAGGAGTCTGGGGGTGCTGAGCCTGGGAGTACTGAGTCTGGGGGTGCTACACCTGGGGGCGCTGAGGCGTCTAGTGAGCAGTCTCCCTGGAGCGGCCGTCTCCATAGTCACTTTGCTGGTACCTCGCCGCTGCACTCTCGTCGTTAACTCCCTCTCTCCCCACACCAAATGCGTGAGTGGTACGTTGGCCATCAGGGTCGCACTGCTGGAGCTAGGGGCCCTACTGCGGGAGGCGCTAGAGCTGGTGACTCTACTACTAGAGTTGTTTCTGCAGGAGGTTCTTGAGCTGCTGAGGGTGCTGGCGCTAGAGGTTCTGGAGCTGCTGGAGGTGCTGGCGCTGGTGGTGCTGGCGCGGGAGGTTCTGGAGCTGTTGCGGGTGCTGGCGCTGAGGGTTCTGAGTCTGCTATTGCACGGTCTCCTTGGAGTAGCCGCCTTCGTTCGCGTGTGCCTCTCACCTCACAGCAGCTGCATGACAAGTACGGTCGCCATCAGGGTCACGCTTCTGGAGCTCTGGGCTCTGCCGCTGGAGGTACTTCTGCTGACGTCACTGGAGCTGGGAGTGGTGCTGGTCCCGGAGGTGCTCGTACTGGAGGTACTCGAGCTGCTAAGGCTGGAGGTGCTAAGCCTGAGGGTGCTCCTACTGGAGACCTTGGGTCTGGGGGTGCTACTGTTGGAGACACTGAGGCTGGAGACCCTGGGTCTGGGGGTGCTGTTGCAAGTGGAGCTGGTCCTGGAGGAGCTGGCGGTGAGGGTTCTGGAGCTACTGGAGGAGCTGGAGCTGCTGGGGGTACTGGAGCTGCTGGTGCTGGTGGCACTGCACAGCCGCGCCTATTCTTTGCTCCATCATCTTCGTCATCTCAATCACCGTCTGACTCTGTGCTTCACCAGGTTCTTTGTCTCACTTTGTCTTTTAGCCTTCCGTTACAGCCTGGCTCACCGCTGCCTGCTCCTTCTCCTTACACTGAGCAGACTGGGGGTCTTACTGAGCGTCGTGAGCCTGCGTCGCGTCCTATCTCGCGTGTCCACTCTGGTCGTTCCGGTCGTCCGCCGGTTGTCCCCGGCACCCACCTCGTAGTCCGTCCTCCTTCTTTTCCTCCGCAGCGTGTTCCTCTGCTGTCCCCTCCTGAGTCTTCTCTGCCCACCGTTCCAGAGCCTGAGTCTGACCGCACCCATGCTGCTCACCCTAGTGTCACGCGTTTACTAGCCACAGTTGTCACTGACCCGTCGTTTGAGTCTGCTGGTGCGTCTGCCTTCGTCGCTAAGCTTGTTGACTTTGCTGCTGCATATCGTCTAGACTACGCCGGTAGTCTTCTTGCTGAGTCTGAGTCTGTCTGTCCTCCGTCCGTCGGGGGTGAATGTGCTCTCGGCACGGACATCCTTGAGGACAGGCAGGAGGACCTTGAGTGTCTTGCAGCCGCTGCGCCTCATCTCGTGTCCATGCTACTTGCCCCTGAGGGAGACCTGGATGGTCCAAACATCCCGACCCCGCGCTCTTACGCTGAGGCGATAGCGGGTGAGTACTCCTCTCAGTGGCAGACAGCCATGGACACAGAGATGGCATCCTGGAAGTCCACTGACACTTACGTCGACGAGGTTCCCCCTCCTGGGGCGAACATCGTCAGTGGCATGTGGATTTTCAGGGTGAAGCGGTCGCCAGGTTCTCCGCCTGTCTTCAAGGCGCGCTACGTTGCTCGAGGTTTTAGTCACCGAGAGGGAGTTGACTTCTTTCAGACCTTCTCCCCCACCCCGAAGATGACCACTCTTCGGGTACTGCTGCACGTTGCGGCTCAGTGTGACTACGAGCTTCACTCTCTTGACTTTAGCACAACTTTCTTACAGGGCAGCCTGCACGAGGAGATCTGGCTTCGCCGCCCTCCTGGCTTCACTTGGTCGTTCCTTCCTGGTACCCAGTGGAGCCTCCGGTGGCCGGTCTACGGTCCCCGCCAGGCCACGTGAGTGGCACGACACACTAAGGATGACACTTGCTGCTCTTGGGTTTGCTCCTTCGACTGCTGATCCGTCGCTATTTCTGCGCACCGACACTTCGCTGCCGCCGTTCTACATCCTCGTGTACGTCAACGACTTGGTCTTTGCCACTGCTGACACTCAGGCTCTCACTCTCGTGAAGTCGGAGCTGTAGAAGAGACACACATGCACAGACCTGGGTGAGCTGTGCAGTTACCTTGGCTTGCAGATCAGCTGGGACAGAGCACGCCGCACCATCACACTGACTCAGTCACACATGGTGCAGCAGGTCTTTCAGCGCTTTGGCTTCACTTGGTCCTCGGCATAGGCCAGTCCTCTGGCTACAGGTCACTCGCTCTCAGCTCCACCTTTGGACGAGTCCGTAGAGCCGAGTCGTCCTTACCCAGAGCTAGTGGGCTGCCTCATGTACCTGATGACCTGAACTCGTCCTGACCTTGCGTACCCTCTTGGCCTTCTGGCTCGCTACGTGGCTCCTGGTCGGCACAGAAAGGTGCACTGGGATGCTGCAAAGAGGGTACTGCGCTACTTGTGCAGTACATCGGGCATGGGGCTCGTGCTTGGAGGGAGGAGCTCAGTTGTTCTCACTGGGCACTCAGAGGCTTCTTGGGTTGACGACTAGGCTACGGAGCCGTCGTCATAGGGTTATACCTTCAGCCTTGGCTCTGGTTCAGTTTCTTGGCGTTCTACACGCTCGTCTTCTGTTCTCAGCTCCAGTTGTGAGGCTGAGATCTACACCACAGCCATGGCTGCACAGGAGTTATGCTGGCTCACCTACCTGCTGACCGACCTGGGAGAGCGGCCTCGTTCTCCTCCAGTTCTCTACGTAGACAACAAGGCCGCCATTGCCTTGTGTAAGGAGCACAGACTGGAGCACAGAATGAAGCACATCGCTCTGCGTTACTTCCTGGCTCGAGAGTTGCAGCAGCGTGGTCAGCTTCGTCTCGCTCACGTGGCCACTCGGGCCAACACTGCTGATATTCACCAAGGCACTTCCGTCTAGTGATCATCAGTGTTTCTGCACTTTAGTAGGCCTTGTGCCCACTTTTCCTCACTTGCTGTAGACTTTGCTTGTACTGTGATCTATATATATGCCTGCATGCTTGCTTTGCTAGGTAGAGGTCACTGTGCTGGTGTTGTTGCATATATACCTCTGCATGTGAACTGGTCTTGTGGCCCTTTGATTGTGCTGAGTGTGTGTGGTGACGTTGTGATCCACCCTGAGCTTGCTTTGCTTCTCTTGACTGGTCTTGTGATCCCTTGCTCTCCCCCACTTTGCCTATGGGGGTGTGTCAAATGATATATCTGCTATATATGTTTAGGCTGTAGTGGGGTAGCCAATATAGGGTACAACCCCTTTTAGGGTTTCATATTTGTACCCAACTCTTTTTTAGTTCATTTTTTCCTTTTGCTAGATTCTAACAGCTCTGGAGATCCCCGATTAATCCTAGGGAAGGGCTACAGGCACGTTGGCCTGAGGGGTTATGGGCGCACTCACCCGCTAGACAAACAAGCCGTTTTATCCGAGTGGTTAGTGGCTGGGATTCTATGTCAGAATCCCAACCACTAGACCATTGGGATAAAAGGGCTTGTTTCAGTAGCGGGTCAGTGCGCCCATAACCCCCCAGGCAAACGCGCCTGTAACCCCCCGTAGGATCAATCGGGCATCCACAGTGCAGATCTACTGACACCCCCCCACACAGGGAGGCCCCGGACTGAGCACAGCGGCAACGGCCTACATGTGCATACACCGGGATTTGAACCCGAGACCACTCTGACACCATGTCAGAATCCCAGTCACTAACCACTTTATTTACAATGTATATGTGTACAAAAGATACAGACGAATTTGAGCATCAGGAGGCTACCTAACTAGCAATGGCCCAACTGCAATCCTAGGTTGAGACCCCCAATGAGGTCTCAAGAACCAACACCAAGGTACGCAAAGTCAGCCAAGGAGGGTGGGGTGGGATCTGGTGGGGCGGAGGGTGTGTCAACACTGTAACGAATTTGTGTCTGACGGCAGATGGTTCGAGCCTGCTCACGCTGGTGCACCAAGGAAATCCTCTTGAAGTAGCTAGTCTCGAAGAGCTCTGGAATCAGGTCAGATGCACCACCCATGTCACGAAGTCGAGTCGCCCCTCGTCTGCTGCAGTCTTTGATGAAGCTGAGAAATGCCGTGCTGAAGCAACCGAAGGTTTCAAGAACGAGAGGAAGAAGCTTCACGTTTGGGCGGTTTTGTAACGAAGATGCATACAGGGTCCGCTTCTCAGTTTCGCGAGCAGATGCAGCTGAGCCGATTACTGATGCAGTCTTGGAGTTTGGGGGACCATGCTGCGGGTCTGCAACTGAAACATCTAATGCCCACGTAGTCCCAGAGCTGATGTCACGGCAGCTGATGTCTGGGCGACGTCCTGAAAGAAGGTGGGAGTCCTCCAGCTGTACGACATAACCAAGCTCGGACGTGATGCGATGAACCTCATGCTTGATGGCGTCGTGGACCCTGGTAGGCTCGTTAGAGGATGGGCAGCGGAGGACGTGAGAGACGACTGAAGGGTCTGTGAATGCCGAGCCACAAGTGCATGTGCGGGTGGTCGTGAGGTGTGGAATGGGGAGGCCAAGACGAATAGCGGCTGCAATACACCACTCCGTAGGTGACAGCTGCATGTGCGAAGAACATGGAGCCACAGTAAGCCAATCGCCAGCATGGGGCCCTTGTAGGGAGGTTAAACGGGCCAAATGTTGGGGAGAGGTTACTGTGGATCGCACGCGCTCGAGCATGACAGCCTCCAAGTGCTGTGAAAGGTAGGAATATAGCTTCTGTGGATAGCCAGCGTGAAGTGCGGGCCAGGTAGGGAAGTGCTGCCGAATGGAAGGATGAAGTTTGGACATGGCTGTGGGAATGCATGGGTCAAGGCGGTCCATGGTGCCTGAAGCGATGAAGGGACGGAAAATAGGGGAGCCATGAATGGTGAAGCATGACGAGAGGAGTGAAACTGTCTGTGCCCAGCTGCACAGGTAACTGAGAGAAGCAGTTGCAGCTGAAGAACGGAGGCCGAACCCACCGAGGCGAATGGGAAGGAATGGCTGTCGGTGTGCTGTGGCAGTGTGGTCAAACGCAGGAGGCCAGTAGTCAGAGCCGATGAGGCGAACAAAGTGGTCCAGCAAGGTGTTGTCCCAGTCAGTGTAAAGCTCTTCTACCTCGGGAAATGGTGCAACTGTGCGGAGGAGGAATGAGGGACGGGCGGAAATGCAGAGAGTAAGGAGGCGGGAGGCAGTCTGTGGATCATGAAGGTCATGCAGGAGAGGCAGTGATGAAGAGAAAGAGTGCAGTTTGTCTCGAACTGTGGAGATAATGTGGGTGTCCGATCCGATAGGCACTCCTGCAACCGTGAGACCGTTAGGGGCAATGATGATGTCTGATGGAGGTGTGAGGTCCGAAGGGAGGTCCAAAGGGGCCCAGAGGGAGCATTTTGATGGTTGCACCCTCAGGCCCAGGTCATTGAGACGAGCTGTAAGCGCTGTGTAGGCAGGAAACACGTCATGCGCAGGACCGACCATGTACGTGTCGTCTGCGTAGGAGGTGATGAAAAGAGCTGGAGATTGACGCTGGATGGGGCGAATGGCTAGGTGCTGGGTGAGGGCGAACAAGAAAGGCCCGCATGGGTCACCCTGTCGAACACCCGATGATGACTGCAGTGTCTCGATTAATGGGCCGCTGCGGTAATGGAGAGAAGAGGGGGAGGCATAGAAGAGGCGGAAGAAAGGGATGAGGCTGGAGAACGGGGAGTCTCGCAGGGCGTTGAACATAGCGGAACGGCTGAAGGAGTTGAAGGCGTTGGCAACATCCAGTTCCAGCACAACCCACTCTGGGTGGAGGGAGAGGGCCGACTGGACTGCATGGGCCATAACCTCGATCCCTGCGGAGACAGCGACCCCAAATTGTAGGGAGGGAAGGAAGAAGTCCCGGATCTGCTGCTTGAAGTGAAGAGTAACGCAACGGGACAGCAGGCGCGGCAGTATCTCGCCGATGGCGATGGGGCGGACCCCTCCATGCGGCTTCTGGAGGGCAACAAGATTAGATGCGGTGAAGTAAGGTCGAACTGTTTGCGGGAGGTCGCCTTGCAGCCAATTGTGGAACAGGCGGAGAAGATGCGGCAGATGAGTCTGGTACGAGAGGAAGGTGTCGCGAAGATGCTCGATAAGCCACCCCGAAGGGCCAGCAGCTGTGCCTCGTGGGGCTGAACGCAAGGCCTGATGAAGAAGTGGAATGGTGAGCTGAGGCACTTCCGAAGGCGAGAAGTCGGACAGCCAGTCTGGTGGCAACGGCCTACATGTGCATACACCGGGATTTGAACCCGAGACCACTCTGACACCATGTCAGAATCCCAACCACTAGACCATTGGGATAAAAGGGCTTGTTTCAGTAGCGGGTCAGTGCGCCCATAACCCCCTAGGCAAACGCGCCAGTAACCCCCCGTAGGATCAATCGGGCATCCATAGTGCAGATCTACTGACATCCTGACCTGCTTTTTCTCTAAAGATAGTCTCACAAAACAACCCTTCCCTCTCCTCTAGCAAGATCACAATGACTTCTTCATGTTCGCCGGAGTATGTTTACTCACTCTCACACATCAACCCTTGTCACGTAGGTAGACAATGTTTCTGCATGGCAAACATAGCATACGATAACCAAGCCCATGACATACATTTTGCTGTAGTTTAACCATACTCAAGTAAAGTAAACGAAGATCAAACGGGCAGTGTTGCAGAGTTTTGCAGCAACAAAACCGAGCATGGCATGTCCCGACCATCAGACGAACCTCAAATATATCAAGAGTGGGGTTTATTAGGTGCATAATGAGGGATTTGTGGCCGACTCGACGTGTTCAAAGAGGCAAGTCGCTAGGAAGTGCAGAGTGGCATATATGGGAGTGGCGTGTTTGTCTGCTAAAAAACGTTTTTGCTGTGTTTTCATATTAACGGCCTACAGCATTAACAGTAGTGTAGTGTAGCTTCTTGTGGGTGGTGCACCTTTGTGCCTACCCTTGCTCCTACTTGTACCCTTGTATCTAATCGTACAACCCCTCTTTGGCCAATTTCTCTTCCCTCTCACTGCTCTCAATACCCCAAACCCTAGCCATGGCTTCTTAGCCAAAGCTATTTTTTTGACATAGTATCTAGAGCAGGTCCATCCTGCAGACCTCCTTTTCCTTTCGTCGACATGGGCCCACCGCTTGCCATCATGCAAATCGGCCGCGGTCCACCTGCTTGCCCACCTTCTGTCCCGTTCGCGCCATGTTCGTCATGTCGCGACCGACGGGAAGCAGGCCACGATGACTGGCACGACACGATTTGCGCTAGTCGTCAGCGTCCCCGTTCGTCGCCCCGTCGCGGTCTCGACACATCGTTACCAGCAACCGCGCGGACCCCGCTGTCTCATCGAGCGCCGATCGTGAGCGCCAGCGTCCAGCGCTGGTGCGAGTGCCAGCAACCACGCCACCGCGGACTCCAGCGACGAGCGCCAGCGCAGACGCCAACGCCAACGGCGGTCACCAGCGCGGACGCCAGCGCCCAGCGCCAACACTGCCACCAGCGCTAGCGCATGTGGGGGAAGGGTGATGGCGGTGGCGGATAGTGGAGGGTGAGGGGGTGGCAGGAGGGGTTTTGCAGGGCCAATCGCCCACCACCTCCTTCTCTCTCTCCCTGCCGCACCAGTTGTTGTGTTGGGAGGGGGGAGGGGCTTGGAGGTTAAGGGGGTGGCATGAGGGGATCTGCAGCACCAGCCGCCTCCTCCCCCCCTTTCTCCTCTCCATTTCCAGCCACTCCTGCCTTCAGCCGCCCCTGCCTGCCGTCTCTGCCACTTCTGCTACAATCGTCGCCGTCTGTGCCTACATCTGCAGCTTGACCTAGTTTCGGTCGTAGCCACTATCACGGTCGTAGCGGTTGACGTAGACGGGCGCCCTTTCAAGTTAGAGCTGTGGCTTGAGCGCCTGTGCCTGTATCTCCAGTGTTTCATTAGAGACGACGCCTCCTTCTTCGAGCACACGTCGAGGTCCCTTCAGGCCCCCACGACTCCCACTGAGCCAGTTTCTGACGCTGACGAGGACACGCAGAGGTGGTACCGCGCGGACCAGGTTGCCTGCACACAGTGGACGGAGCGCGACGATGTCGCCCAGCTTGCTGTCCGCGCTCACCTGCTGTCCACGCTCACCTGCTGTTCGACCAGAGGGTGCACTTTTGCCAGGTGACGTCGGCCCAGACTTTCTTTGACACTGTGGTTAGGCACTACTCATTCCTCCCTCCTGCCATCCAGCAGCCGCAGCGGCGACGTCCACTGTTCTGGGAGTGGCAGCAGCTTATCGAGGAGGCGAGTGTAGGTTCCTGTGAGGCTGCTCGCATAGATGGTACAACGGGTGGAGGCAGAGGTTCTGGGGGTGGATTGCAGCGGTTGCAGCGTCAGCAGAAGACCCTCTCACCGCAGCAGCTTTGTGAGGGGGTTTCCCAGCGAGGCATTCTTGGTAGTGTAGAGGCTGCTAGTCTAGGTGCTTGTGAGTCTGCTAGCACATGTGCAGTTCCTGCGAAGGCTCTGCTCACTTTCACGCTGTAATCAGGTGCGTCTCCTGCTTCTTCCGCGACTGCACCACAGTTACACCACTCATCACACCTGTCTCTGTCACTCTGGCCGACCCCTCCTCTGCCCAGTGGCTGCACGTAGTTCCACTATTCCCCGTGTTCGGCAGTCCCCTCTTGTTCCCTCACAGGTCTCCACCTCCCCTCGTTCGCTATGAACTTGGTGAGTAGCTCTGTCCTCCAGGATCATTTGGTCACTACCACCACTCCTAGGGCGAGCTTGTGGCTATCTGTACGAGCTTACTGACTATCAACCACCTTGCCACGTTCACTCGGAGTCCTGGTTCTCTCCTGTAAACAGTGCGCAAGCTGGCCTCAAGAAAGCCCAGGTGGGTAGTGAGGTCAGCGAGGAGAAACATGGGAGATCAGGGAAGAAGGCATGAGGAGGCTTCCCTGAGTAGTAGAGGAGGGGATGAAGCGAGCAACAACATCATCAAAACATCCCTTTGTCCTCTCGACTTGGCGAAATTGCACTCACTCTGCCGGCGGCAGTATGCAACCAAGAGCAACGCGCGTAGGAGCATCCCGAGCAACTCCCAAACCGAGTATGCAATTCAGGCCTTACAATGAGCCTCTTGCTCCTTTGACGTGGGCTCAGTAGCAATAGCGGTCTGACGCTTGGGGGCAGGTAGCTCACCATGTAAAAGTATGCGAGGGACAAGCTATACTGCATGAGAGAGGTCAACCACAGGCGAAGGAGGAGACAGTTAGAGGCAGCTAGAAAGATAGAAGGTGGTGTTAGAAGACATGCACTGTGGATGTCATATTGATCCTTTTCAAGGGTTACATGTGCAAAGCTAGGGGGGTTATGGGCGCACTCATAAACTACTTAGCAAAATGGTATACTGGTTGGGATTTTGAGATGCAATCAGAGCAAAATGTCAAATGCGCATATACTGGCACCATGTCGTTGCCGCTATGTCGCGTCCTAGAGCGCCCCTGCAAGGGGAGTGTTAGAAGACCTGCAGTAGGGATGCCATATTGATTCTCGGAAGAGGCGACGGGTGCAGAGCCAAGGGGTTATGAGCGCTTTCATCCTTTTTATACCAGTATTCTAGTGACTTGGATTCAGAGAGGCGGCAAAGCAAGCGGCGCAGCGACGAGGCCGGGGCAGGGCGGTAGTGGGGCTGCGGCTGCAGGCACGACGTGGGGTAGTAGGAGGCGCGACGACGGGCTGCAGCTGTAGATGCGGTGTCGTGCGGCAGCTGCAACCATGGCGGTGGGCGGCAGCTGCAGGCGTGGCGGAGGGCAGCAGCTGTCGGTGCGCGCGACGACGGGCAGCACCTGCAGGCTCGTGTGGCGGTGGTAGTGGCGACGACAACGTGCAGCAGTTGCAAGCGCGTGCGGTGGCGAATGCACGGCGACGGGCGGGTAGGTGCAAGTGGCGGGCGCAAGCGCGCTGGCAGGTGTCGGCATAGGCGCGGCGACGGGCGGGCTCGACAGCAAGCACAGGTGCAAGTGACGATGATAGGCGTGTGGTGGGCCACATAATGGGAAGCGGGTGTAGGCGCGCATGCACGCAGCGGCGGGCGTAGGCGCGTGGCAGGCGGTAGCTACAGGCGCACGCGGCAGTGGCGGTGCGGTGACAGGGCCGCAACAGTGTGGTGGCTGGGCCGCAACGGGGCGGCGATCGGGCGGCGACGGATGTGTTAGAGGGGGAGTGGGTGTGTTTTTCCGATGATTTTGGGCCACCTTCGCACGATCCATAGCCACGTTGCACTCTCGTGCGCACCAACCGAAACCTTGTGGTTTCTCTGAGCAGGCAGCAAGCAGGGCACGACAACTTAGCCGTCCCATACCATGGCATGCACTGGGCGTCTCTTTGAAGTCGTGTCTTCCCCTCCAATCCGCTGAGAACTGTCAAACATTATATATGTTGTGCTTGTTTAGGCTACAGTGGGTTAGCCTATAGGGGGTACACAATTCTAGGGTTAGGTACTTGTACTGATTTCACTGTTAGTTCAATCATTCCTGTTTGTTCATTTCAACATGGTATAGAGCAGGTCCTTCGCTAGGACCGTTTTTTAGGGCCCACCACTACCTACCTACCTACCTACCTACCTAACTGCGCCCTAGGGCGCCTCGTTTTTCACGGCCCCCTAAGGCCCCGCGACCCGCGACCCGCCCCTTAGCGACTCGCGCGCCGCCCCTTAAGGCCCCGTCGGCCCACACGCTCGCCCCTTACGGCCCCGCGCTCGCCCCTTAGCGACCCTGTCGGCCCCGCGATCGCCCCTAACGGCCCCGTCGGTCCCGCGCTCGCCCTTAGCGGCCCCTTA